CTGTAGGGGCCTCTAAAAACTTACTACCTGTGTCAACATGGCTGTAGGGGCCTCTAAAAACTTACTACCTGTGTCAACATGGCTGTATAGGCCTCTAAAAAACTTACTACCTGTGTCAACATGGCAGTAGGGGCCTCTAAAAACTTACTACCTGTGTCAACATGGCTGTAGGGGCCTCTAAAAACTTACTACCTGTGTCAACATGGCTGTAGAGGCCTCTAAAAACTTACTACCTGTGTCAACATGGCTGTAGAGGCCTCTAAAAACTTACTACTTGTGTCAACATGGCTGTAGGTAATGAGGTCTCTAAAAAACTTCTTACTTGTGTCAACATGGCTGTAGGTAATGAGGTCTCTAAAAAACTTCTTACCTGTGTCAACATGGCTGTAGGTAATGAGGTCTCTAAAAACTTCTTACCTGTGTCAACATGGCTGTACTTTGATCTTCTTGGTGAGCTTTGTTGATTATGAGTCTGAGTTCTTTGGACGGAAGAGGTCTGAAACAATTAAAGTTTGAAGAAACTTTACTTGTGTCACATACAGAATCTTGATGGTTGTGTATAAACTATACTATGCTTAAAAAAAATATAAATAAATGAATAAAAAAATATATTAAATCTGAAGTACGTAGGGATAACATCTGCATGTTTTCAACAGTAAAATAGCACGTAAAGTTCGTGGTATAAGATTTATACATCTAAGTATGCTAACGATAGGGAAAACTTCAACACTTAGACTAGCAAGAGCTGTTTACATATATCAATTGTTACAGTTTATCATCAAAATACTGTGTAGACAGCACTGAGGCATTAAGAAAACACTTACCTCGTGATGGTAAACTCACTGAAAGGTGGCATGCCAAGCGTGACCTGTTTCTGTCTGACTAAGAGGTCAGTCACAGCCTATTAAAAAGTATGAAGTCTTATTCAGTTCTATCACAACAGTCTGGTGGTTAAGATAATCCTAATAAAGACAATAACACTGATTAAATAAATTAAGTAAATGAAATATTCCTTTTCAGACATGACAATACATGACATTCAGCCAGACAATGGTTTGCAGTATAACCCAGACTGGAGCTTTAAACTTGGCAGGTTGACTGATAGAAAAACAGTAGTGCAAGAATTCACTGGCTTGAGGGATCACTCTAGAAGGTAACTGTATCAATAAAACTTGGTTTACTGGTAGAAGCTAACTGAACCAATGAACCTGGGTTTACTGGTAGAAGGTAACTGAACCAACAAAACTTGGTTTACTGGTAGATGGTAGCTATAACAACAAAACTTGGTTTACTGGTAGAAGGTAACTGAACCAATGAACCTTGGTTTACTGGTAGATGGTAGCTATAACAACAAACCTGGGTTTACTGGTAGAAGGTAACTGAACCAATGAACCTTGGTTTACTGGTAGAAGGTAACTGAACCAATGAACCTTGGTTTACTGGTAGAAGGTAACTGAACCAACAAACCTTGGTTTACTGGTAGAAGGTAACTGTATCAATAAACTTGGTTTACTGGTAGAAGGTAACTGTATCAATAAAACTT